TTTTTTGTCGGCAAAATAATTTTTTCTAATGAATTTTCAACAAGACACCTGATAGTTTTTCTTCACCCTCCACTGCTAGAACGCAATATAAATCATGAACGCTGCGAAAAATTGAATAAAATAGCGGTATCTTTCCGCTCAGCGTATCAAACAATGTGCCAATAAAATTTTGAGAGCACTATGGTAAGTTGCAGCCGTTAGTTCATAGACACTAATCTTAACACACTCATGTATGTAAATTTTATACATCAAACAAATTAGCTTTCCCGCTCATCTTTTCAAAAAGAAGATCTCAATTTTAATATGCATAGCTGTCTTCCTTTCTTTTATTTGCTACATATTTTATCCCACCATGTCACAGTAATTGTCCGTTTAATTATCTACTTGACTGAAGTTTCACAGTATTTCGTCCATAGTTTTTCATTTCTGAGATTATCAGAAATATGAACTTTAGAAAAGAACAATTTTTCCTGTTTTCGGATAAATTTTAGTAAAGTCGCATTTTGTATCGCAAAAATACATCTAAATGGAACCCACGATACGCCAAAAGAAAGGCGACACTTCGGAACACCAGAACAATTCTTTTGATTTCCGACCACATTTCATCCTACAGACTCGATACGTATTTCGTTTCTTTTCCCTTTGAAGTCTTCTTAATAATTTCATACAGCGTCATGCAATCACTTTTAGTCTGATACTACTTTTCGAACTCACTCTCACACTGACACCCCCCCCTCCTCTCGAGCGATGGCCGTTTATTGATCCTCTCTATTGAAAGTGGCAATAGCTGTTTCCTGTCACGTCCGGAAGTGATAATAGTTTCTAGTTAACAGTTTCAAAAAGTCGCATTAGCTCCTTAATGACACACAACCACACGTTTCTTGTCACTAAACCAAAATTCTCAATTCTCAAAATTCGCAAAAATCCCAAAAATCCCACACATCCCACACATCCCAAAACTACCAAAAATCCCAAAGTTTTGAAAAACTCAGAAATTTCGAATCTGGACCGACAAATTTGATATTTCAAAATTTTAAAACTTCGAAATTCTCGATCTACCATAACACATAATGGCGATACGAATATTAGAATTCGTATAGAATTAGGATTAAGACAGCTCTGTCTATGTAGTGTAGAACAGTAAATATTTTGTTACACTATACATTCTACAGACATCGGATAGAGGAAAAGATCTAAAACAAGTAAGTTCTTCTGGATGGCTGGAGAGAATTTGATCTGTCACAGATTCCATCAATGCGTAATTTACCAGTTTTACACCGCCTCTTTCACTCCTAGACAAAATAGTTTGTTAAGGAGAATGTGGAAAGAAACATGATTAAACGCTTTTTCAGACTAAAACTTGACAGAATCAGCGTCCTTTGGAGAGACATTTCCAACATTACTAAAAGTTTAATATTCTTCTACACTATATTTTTTATTAAAATTTTTTATTGACAGTGCTTTAAATTACAAGTATATTCTTTTTCATACATGCTGAAAGATGAGAAGAAAGATTTTGTCACAAAAAAAACTTTTGAATGCGTAACAAATCAACTATATTTTTCTCAAAATAACATGAGATATAAACAGATACTTGCTGTATGTCAGAAAATATTTTTCTCAATCACACAACATTTTCTACAGTGCTATTAGTATTAGTAGAAATCGTGAATATTCTCTAAAGATTCCCGGATGCAGTATGATAGTTCAAATAGATTCTCCATGCTCGAAAACATGTACTTGTAGTGAATGTAGCTCATAAATTCATTCACAATCTATTAGAAACCGTTATTAATTTGTAGCGACATCTACCTAATTAAGCAGAAACGATCTAGTATGTGGCACTCTTTTCATTGTGGCCGTTAGTTCATCGACTTCTTGAAAAGTATATCTCTGACGTAATTCTTAATCTGATTAATCGTCTTGTGATTGGTGAATCCATACGATACAATGGCGGTCAAATTTGCCAACCCACCGATCTGCATGCTGCAACACAGTGAGAAAAAAAGTGTCTTAACTTTTGCACTTCGCATGTTGTAGGCATAATTATAGTTAGAGGATGCGTTGTATCTTTACAAGAGATATTTAATATCGATTGTTCTTTATGAATGCAAGGCTCGAGTCAAATTATTTTGAGACAGATCGGATTATTCTCTACGGAAAAATGTTCTAGCCATCCTTCTTCATACTGATCTCACGCAATAAGACATATGATTTTTTATCTTTTACAGATGTCTGAACATCCAAACACCTCGTCTATGCTTCTCGATAAAGATATATCTGCACGTGCATCATTATTTGGTCAACGTTTAAAGTCAATGAATGATACATTTTTCTCATCAATTCTTAATACGACGAAGAATAAACAAGAAAAAGTTGTTGTCAAAAATGCTCAAGATTTCCATCAAATGAATGTCAACAATGACTTTACATTCGGAGCAAGTTCTTCCTCTACTTCAACAACAACGGATCAGTACAGTTTTACTTTCAACCAACAATCACACAGAGAGGACGAGGACATAGACCTACAACCAACAAGCCCAATTAAAACACGACGAAAAGAAGTGAGTAAAAATATACTAGACAGTTTAGTTTATCCACTCTCAGTTGCTATTCTAACGATCCCATACTGAACTGATTATGAGTGCTTTGAGAAGGGTACTGATGGAGCAAAATATCAACAAAAACTTCATTTTGTATTATGAAAAGCGTATAAAACTATACCTGTTCATTACTTCTTTCACTTATAATTGTCATCTTATTCAGAGCTGTAATCACAAAATTAATCAATCATCAACACCAAATAATTCGAATACAAATATTTATAATCCATCGTCCGATTTATCCCAAATATCTTCCATAACAGTTTCTACTCATAATAAAAATGATGCTACTATCCATATGCCAACATCGAAACAATCTCCTCAACAACAAAATCCTACAGCCATTATTGTTGATTATTCAGCTACATCGCCCCCGCCCTCACTAACAATTAACCAGTCTCATCAGCCACAAGCGATGATACCTTCTCATCCTTATCCTTATTATTATCCTGTTTTATCCTTTCATCCTCCAACAATGCCTGTATTTTTATATCCTCGTACACATCCTATTCTTACGCATGATCCACATAATAATGGCCCAATAGTGACTACATTAAACAGTCAACTATCAGCTGGTAATGACAAGTAAGTATATAATTAGCATAGAACTTCGTGGAAGCGCTTATGATTGTTAATTTGGTAGGATTTAAATAACTGACATGCTGTTTGTCTTTATGAACATAATCTTGGGCTTTTGAATTGATAATACGCGGCTGTTATGAAGAAGGAAAAGAGATCCTTTAAAATACTAAATTTCACGAAGAATACATCTTCCATTTTTTTTTGTCGTTCAGATCTCAACAAATGTGGAATTTTTCTAGTCATCAATCGTCAACGAGTACGTAAACTTTGAAGAGATGTTTATTTCAGCTATTTTACTCTTTTGCCATTCTGTTCAGGTTCAGTGAAGAGTAGTGTTGATCACTATCATTGGTGGTTAGATATTCCTTCGTCAATGGATCTAAAATCGTGTTATGTTAATCAAACAGTATCTGTTGATATTCAAATTACAAACAATGGTTCATTAGAAAATTTGGTATGCATTCGATATTTAAGAAAATTATTACGTTTATTCCGAGAGGGCAGAAACATTAGTCATTATTAACGGTGAAATTGTTCAACGCAGCAAAAACCGTATCTTCATACTAATAATAGTTTATAAGTGAAAAATTGCTTACTTTATAATCAGAAGATCAGATATGCATAAGACACTCTATGATAGATGAGATATAATTATCTCTTGAGAAAATTAGGTTTTCTGTTGACTATGACAGATTTTTCTTATGAGTAGGACTGTAAAAGTTTCCGTTACTTCTTCGGCCGTTATCGACAATAGTAACTAGAAAAACAGTTGCCGTTAAAGTAACGATAACTGTCTTTTCAGTTAGCGTTAAACCAACGGTAACTATCTTTTCAGTTATCATTACTTTAACGATAACTGCGTTTCCAGTTACCGTTAAAATAAGGGTAACTATCAGTTAGTTAACTTTATGGTAAGTATTTTTTAAGTATGCCAGAAATATCCACGAAGCGGCTCAAAATGGCTTCCAAAATCGTTAGTTTTCCACTAAAACTGTTGCAACGTTGATAAATGACATGATTTTGTAGTCCAATTTCGTTGATGAAAACAAAAAAGATTTCTTAAACTGGCTGTAGACACTGAGGTCTTCAAGAGACCTTCTTAAAAACCGCAATTACAAAACATTGAAGTTATATAATTTCGATTAGTTTAGTTGATTGGCACACACGTGCCAATCAAAACCATGTCATTTATCAAGTTTCAACAGTTTTAGTGGAAAACTAACGATTTTGGAAGCCGTTGCGTGGATATTTCTGGTATACTTAAAAAATACCATAAAGTTAACTAACTAATAGTTACCCTTATTTCAATAGTAACTGGAAATGCAGTTATTGTTAAAATAACGGTAACGAAAAGAATAGTTAGCGTTAAATCAACGTAACGGGAACTTTTATAGTCCTACTTATGAGTGTAGGATTATTCTTGCTCACTTATTACTTGGTTTGTTTTAGTTGAGTGTTGGCATATGTACATGGGATATTATTCAAAATACAAGTCTATTGGGCGAAGATGAACACCATCATACAGCTCATACAGAATGTCCATTTATCTTGGACAAAACAGAATATTTAGTTAAATCCCAACAACTTTTAAATATTAAAGTATGAAGTAGTTCTTGTTAACGGTTTTGTTCATTAGAAGACGAATAGAATATATCGGAAAATTATCTGATTTGTATAGGGTAGGAGGACGTAACCTGAATATTATGTGACATACACTTCTGTTCCAGTAGTGACTACATAGAGAGAAATAGAAGGATAAAGCTACTATCAAAAAAATTAATGATTCCCAGTTATTTTTTCAAAAAAGCTTGAATACTTACATAAAATTTTATTTTTTTAAAAATTTGTACAGTAAGGGTATTTTCACTGAATTTTAAAAAAAGAATTTCTAGGTATGTTTATAGCAGCATCTTGTACGTGTAAAGAAAAAGATAAAAATCAAACTTAGTGTCGACAAGATTTTTTTTACAGAAACTGCCTATAAAAACGATTTCATCGAATTTGCTGCACTTCACGCAAGCTGAGCAATTCAAAACACAGATATGGACTGGAATAATTAGCACAAAAACATTTACAAACTTATTTCTTTATGAAAAAATGCGTCGACGTCTTGGGTTTAAAATACTCAAATGACAAACACTTTGATTTTGTTCTGAAGTTATTAAAAGAACAATCAAAAGGCACAGCTTTATTTTTTCGTCAGTAGTCACTAAATAGATATCAACCGTACTAAACTCATTTTTACTTTAGTACGTTGAGCATAAATCGCTTATTGCTTATACCACAGAGTTATTCACTTCTCTAATTCACCTTTGTATTGCTCAAGTCTAGCTACTGTGTTTATAGATGCGTAGTGGTATCCGCTATTTCGATAGTTAATGCGATTGATACCACTGGATTCGTCTTATCATTCTTACTTTATTACAATTTAGATTCATTTTTACCCTCGTCTAGTGGGTAATTATTGCTCTAAATTATTTGTTCGTTGTAACCATTGTCAGTTACAATCACAATCATCAATTATTTCACTTGTGGCAGTTTGTCAACAACCACAGATTGAAGTAAGATTAGAATATATTTATGTAATTCTTTCCTGTACAGATTCTTCACTATTTAGATCTCGTCTACTTCAATATCTTTTGGTGATGTAGCGGATGGTTGTGTGGCTCTCAAAACGTTAAGAATTAAAAAGAAATCGAAACCAACGTTGCCGTTACAACTCTCAGTTGATCATGTAAGGAACGCATATATTCATAAGACAAAATATCTCCCATCTATGTCTAGGATGTCCTTGTAAAATTAGAATAAGAAAAAAGTGTACTATAGGGATATGCAAACCGTATGCAATCCGAAGGTTGAGGACAGATGTATGGTTCACACTGGCCTTCCACTCTACCTCTTTTTGCCCTCTTTTTTCACGAACACAGTACCTATTGACGAACAAATTCGTTATTGTTGGTTCATCCGGTGGTACATGTCATCATGTATTTTTACTCTTGATTTCTACTAATCGTTAAGCTCGGACTCTTCAATCAAGTGAGACTAGAAACTCTCTCAGCTGCCTAGATTAAACAAAGTATCAATCCAATCTATATACTATATTTAAAAATAATGGTAAAAATACATATGCAGGAATGACATGAAGTAAGGAGACCACTAACTGATCCGACTACTTACTAACTCTGTATTCTATATGCACTCGAACCGATTATATCTGAATGTATGCTTTCATATATCTATATCTATATATGTATATCCAAAAGAACAAAGACATGTGACATAAAATTAAAAAACTAGACAGATAGCAAAAGATGATGCTATCTTTATATAGAATAATAGTGATCACAGCTAGACGGGAAAAAACAATAGATGAACAAAATTTCTGTTGTTTTCGGGGTTTTTTTCTCATTTTGCACTACGCATATTATGAACGATGCAAAATATATGTGAACAATACTGAATTTCATTTTTCTCTGTTTCGATTCGGCCATAAAATCATAGATATGCCACCGTTACATGCTTCTACACTAGCGAGGATATTTGTTAGCATTTTTCGCCCGAAAAAACTGAACTCCACTTTTCCACTTTTCTTTTATATTATGGATCCTCTTTTTTTACAAACTGTCGGTGGGATATCACTGTCGGTGGGTTTACGGGTATAATTGTTTTCTGTTATCCTGGAGAATGAGATTTCATGTTTTGTCCTATTAGATCCTTTTTAAGCACATCGATGGTTTGATTTTTTTTAAGAAACTAATTTATTGTTAATTTAGACTTCTCATTTGGTTTGAATAATAAAAATTCTAAATTTTTTGATACTTTCGTTGTGTTTGGGTAAGGATACAAGTAGGATAATGGTAGAATTTTGAGTTTCGGTTCGGATAAAGGTATAAAAAGGCGTACCCGTGCATATCTCTAGTATACTTTGGAAAGAATGCAGTCTTCAAAAATATTATATTTTAAACATTTCGTAAATATTCAAAGTTATTATAGTTCATTTTTTTCTCAAAAAGAGTATATTTACATTTTTTGTCTATCAAAATGAATTTGATAACATAAGATAAATATTCTATTGATTTATATTTATGTTTTACTGAGAGATTGTATATTTTATTTGCTTAGACTTGCTTTCTTTGTAATATTTCAGACTACACCTCTATATTGTCAATTTGGTTTATTAATGAAATCGGTGGATAATTCAAAACAAATGAAACAAGGAAAATCAAACTTATCCAAATTACAACTGACATTAGACTCCTGTGAACAAGAATATACCATTTATGTAACGTGTAATACAAAAGGAACAATAAGCGAAAGTATGTCGGTATTTTAGGTTAAATGATTACTATTAATGACTAATCAAAGAGTTCTCAAGGTGATACTTGTCAATCTTTAATGTCCTACGATGGTTTGAGATCATTGGATGTTATCTACTTTGTACACATCAAGATGTGTTCATCGTTGATGTGTTCCAATGCTTAAACATCACATAAATTAAAGCAAGAAGAGTTTTTCAATTTATCTAAACGATAAGAAGGATGCAAAATCATATTACCAGCAGTTTTAAATTGTTGAAAACTTGATGAAAAAAATTCTTTCAGTTTAAACAAGCACAAAGCATCTTTTAGACGCCACGAAGTACAAGAAGCAGGGAGGGTTCTCCTATTTCCGAATAAATCGAAAAAAAAAAGAATGCACAGCTCTCAAAACGCGAGTCGCAGCAGATTTTCTTGTAAACCAAAAAAAAAGAAAATATGTTAATGTTTACATCTTAAACCGAGAGTATTTATAATGAATAATCAATCAATGATTGCTCATTATGCAGCATTAAATCAGAACTCAGAGTTTTTCCTCTTCATTTCCACATGCTGTTATCTTTATTAGCATACGCCAGATAGTACTAGTTGTTGAGCTCAATTCCAAAGCAAAAACTTATCGGATTTGGGAATAAAATATTTCAGAAAGCAGAGAGAGGGATCCTCCTCTCTACCCCTGTTGTCGCGACGTCTCCGTTTTAGTGATACCACGGATGAGCACAAAAAATTGAGTATGTTTACTATCTCTCTGTGAACCTCGTTGCTACACTAATGACTGACGATCTTTTAATCTCGAGAACTACTTGATCAATCAACAATTGTACAATAAAGTATCTTTCTCTGCTTTATATATATATATATATATATATGCAAGTGTCATTCGTATATTAAAAGCGAGGAATAAACAGCGAGGAGTTAACCTTGAAACTAACCAATTCTGTTATCTTCGTTAGATAAAAAACATAAAGAAAAAGGGGACATATTCATATCATATGATGATTGTTTGTTAAAAACTATACAATTAAAATCAACAATTGGACGAGCTGAACTTGAATCATTATCAAGTCAGGTATGTATATGATGAATACTTATGTTTAAACGTACTTGCATGTGATGAATGATAATCGTTACTACTGTGGCAAAGGTTATGGGCACGAAAAAGTAAATATAAACAACAAATGTGGACACATCTTCATCACCATCCTATTTTCACCGGTCTTTTGATCGTTGTATACGCATATCACATCGATGAGAATGTAATCAAGTATAGGAATGTAACAATAATTTCTTAATACTGTTTTTTCTACTGTATTTTTAGCCATTGCTATTTTTTGGTGATAACTTAAGACATTTAATGTTAAAAAATGTTGGATCTGTATCGGGTATTTATTCATTTTCATTTCCAAACGAGACGTTGAAATTATTTGATGTTGAACCTCAAACATGTATAATTAAACCTCAACAAATACAAACATTAACAATTACATATAATGAGCAACAAAATACACATGACTCATTCGTCACGTAAGAAAACTACTCGATTCCTGTTACGATTATATCTCTTGACACATTTATTTATAAAATCTTACATTTCAAGCGATTTGAGAATTTTGAGAAAATCAAAAAAAGACTCGTGTATTACTATAAATCCCATTCTATCTAGTAATTTTCGACAAATAGTTTCACAATTTCATCATCCCATAAGATTAATCTTGATTCTCACTTACAGTTTTTATTATTATTAATTTTAATTGTATTGATCTGTAATCTAATTTGTTACTGTCTGATTCTAGTTCGTTGATTGCTACACTGGAATTACATGGTAAAAGTAAATCATTTTCCATTCAAGTTCTATCATCATCGTCAGTCACGAATCTATCAACTTCTTCTAACAATACTTCATTGACATCTGTAACACCATTAAAAAACAGTCAAATGTCAAATCTTCAAATTGATGACTCTCTTTTCATTGCTACATTAAACAAAACAACATTATAGTCAATATTATGTTAGATATTCTCGTTTTTCTATATGATATATAGTCAAGTATTGTGATTAAAAATATTTTTTTTGCATGTGCACAAATAATTATTCTTTTTTTTTTAAAAATCGAGCATAAAAATATAATAATTAAAGATAATACAAGATGAAAAGTATCATAGAAGAATTTTACAAGTCAAGAATTATTACAATAAAATAGTTACCTTTAGTTATTCTTTGCTGTTTTAAAACAATTTTTCGACGTTCTTGGATAAGATTCGATAAATATATGTGATACTGAGCAAAGTGTTGATTAAAGATAGTCATCATCACATCGATGGTAGGATACATTCTTTTTATCTCTTAATAATTGTTTGCTCAAATTTAGCAGTTTAAAATTGTAATTTATTTTACAATTTTATGCTTTACCTGTTTCAAAAAAATAATTGCATTTTTTAACATTTTATATCAGACTAGATCTGACTTAAACGTACTTTTTCTAGAGTTAGTATTCGAGAATTGATTTATATTACTGCCCATGAGATAATTTTATCACTCGAACGGAAGTTTTAACGCGTTTGGAAAAAAATAGTAACAGTTAGAGAAAATTTTAAGTAACATGTTGGAACAAGTTAGACATATCTCCAACATGTGTAAACACGTTCATTTGCATATTCGGCAATTTTGAAAACTAGAAAACGTTCGCGAATAGTCGAACGCATTAGAAGGGGGAAAAAAGTAACAGAAAATTACATTCTAATGTGTTACAACGCGATGAAATCAAATTGATCGGTCAGATCAACTTGTTACAATGCTTTCCAGTTAAAATTCTATCAAACTTGATCAATCTTTCTAAACGTATGGGAACATGCTATATGTCGTACACGTTCTAACACGTTAGAGTAAGAAGCGTGCTGGAATAAGTTGATTTGACCAATTTCACCGCGTTGTAAATCGCTCTGAAACCACGTTCAACCCCATTTAGGTTTTAACCCGTTCTACCTGTTAGACATTTATTCTCCTATTTCTCCAACTTCATTTCATTTTCGATTAATTTTCTTTCGATAGGCTCCTTTTCACGCATGTTAAAGATGTACACATATTCCAAATTTCTAAAATTTTTGAAACTAAACACTTCATTTTCAACAAAGTTTCTGTTTGCAATAAGCAAGTAATCTGTGAGGAATTTCATGATCCTATATGGAACTGCATATTGAGTTTTAGTATGGTGTGAGATATTCAAAGTCTGTGATAAATTCTCTATAAGGCTGGAGGCGGCTCCAACATAACTTGGGAGAAAAGAACACAGTTTAGACGGTGACTCATTGTTTTAACCAAAAAGTTGATAGAATACGCGTTTGAACGAGTTCTACATTCCAATATTTGTGACACGTTCGAGCGACTTTGTATTTTAACGAGCTGAAACGCGCGTTAAATGAAATTTTTAAAAAATCACAGGTTCTAATGTATTAGTTTTATTCTTGTTTCTCGAACACGTTGGAACGAGTAAAAATTTTGTCTTCAGTGCGTTAGAGCTCGTTATTTCATAAATTTTCCTTCGAACGCATTGAAACTTTCATTCGGATGACAAAATTATCTCATGGGTGTCTGATAAATCGGGTATACATCTTTGGATATATCACCTACTGTCGAATGATAAAAATACTATTAGCTATCTTTACACTATAAATCTGAACTTTGACTGTAAAAATCATTTAGTCGGTGCTAAAATACTCTCTTTCGATAATAAATTAAATATTATAACTTGCAGAAGAAGCGTAAAGGTATGGCAAGAGAGAGAGAGAGAGAGAGTTTGCTAGATTGTTTCTATAAATTTCACTTCAAACATTTCGCAGCAATTAATCCAAAGAGTGTTTCATTTGCGCGGACTCATATAAAGAGAAAATTAACTGTCGCAACAAATATGAAGATTGGTTTGACAGATGATCTCGTCCTATATTTTATATAGAAATTCTTGATTTTCTGTGGAAACTTCCAAGGACTTGTTTATTTTTCGAAGAAAATGGAAGTTTGAAGTTTGTTTTAAAGGAGATAGATGTTTTTCACTTATTTTGGCCACAAAAATTTCAGTAGCACCCTGTCGACATTTTGGCCTCATCAAATTTAAAGTTAATTTTGATGTTTACAGCTACTGAAATCGTATTGCAAATATTGAATATGTTGTTTATATTTATTAAAGATATTATTTGTACCCAATGTAAATGTTGATTAAGGCAGTCAGTTATGCAGCTGTATCGAAGGTACTACACGGCTGACAAGTATCAAGATGATTATGAAAATGATGTGAAACGGGGAATGGGTATTTATACGTGAGCAAATAGTGATGAATATGAAGGTAAATGGTATCATGGTAATCTAGAGGGGAAATGGGTGTTTATTTGGGCAAATATTGGTACAGAAGAACAACCAAATCTAGAACTCCAGTCCTTTCAAAGTACAGAAGAACGAGAACAACTTACACAAAAATTAGAAAAAGTACAAAGAAATGAACAAGTTGGTGTCGATGAGACTAAAAAAGCTAAACGAACAGAAAAAGTTAAAATCGCACACAGCAATGAAGAGTTGAATAAATCTAAACCAAAAGATAAACTAGGTCGCGCACATAGTGTTGAAAAATCGCAATCTTCAGCTACAAAAGTAGGTAAACTTCGAAAATCAAAGAAAAAAAACGTAAAAGTTGAACATGCGGAAATATTTTAAAAGTAAGACTATGCCAATATGTACAAATTGAAATGCTCGTAAATATCGCACAATGGACAGTCACGTCATATTTAGGTGGAAAAACGAAAGTGAGATTTTTCGAGATTTGAATAGCACATCATATACTTTGGCATACGCTCTATAACTTTGCCATTGCAAGTTTTTTTCTCGGTGTTATTTCTAGCGAGAAAATCGGCGATGAAATTATTTTAGGAAAACAGAACGATTAGATAGAAGATCATTTTGCGACAAACAATAGACGATATTTATTAAAATTTTACATAGTCTAAAACTAGGCATTTCGCTCTATCCATTCATAAAAAAGGCTTCTATTTTGGCTTTTCCATGATCGGGAAAATTAGCTTTCTTTTTTTGCTACGTGTTTCCTGAAAATGTGTGCTCAGTGTAATCGGTTTCCGATTTTTTCCGAAGCTTCAAATTCAACGAATTTTTTACCGAAGGTAGACCTACTAACGATACATATATAATGATAGCGCAAACTAGCGCAAATGTTCCTGGATCGAGTTATAGGTTTTCCAAAAACACCTCGGTTTTTGAAATAAATTAGGTTTTTCTAGGTTCATTAACATTTAAATTAAAAAATAACGAGATATTTGGAATCAGCGGAAAAAACTGCGTCGAATGGTGTAAATTCAGCCGTATTTGTACGGACACTTTTGAATTTAGTTGATTCCTTTGTTTCTTGCATGTGCGTATAGGGATTTTTGACTGAAATTTTAAAATTTGAAATTATCGACAGATGGAATCGTCTAAACACTATTTCTCTAGGTTATCGATGATTCTCTATTCAATGTAATTGTTTTTGAGTTTTTTAAAGTTTTTCTAAGTGGTTTTCTAGAGATCGGATCTCTGAAAAATCACTTAGAAAACTTTTTTAGAAAAGCATTTGAAAATGTCTAGTGGAAACTGCTCACTGTGTATCGACTTCAAGGAAAAAACTGATGTGTTTTTTTTAATTACAATATCTTTTTGATGTGCTCTATCTTTTTGTTATGTTTGCTTCATTATAAATCTGAGTTATAGACAAGGGCACTATCCAAACGAACAGAACGCCAAAATAGTTGTCCAAAAACTCGTCATTGCCTGTTCGAATGCTCGATCGGTCATCGTTGTTACTCTAATTAATTGAAATATTTTCGATAGAAAAGTTAAAGATTAAGTCACCTTTTTTAGCACGATAAAATAATATCATTTATTGACACGTTTCGTTAGTTATCCACTGACATCAGCAATCGGATGAGCGGTTTACAGTGAAAAACAAAACGGAAAATAAAAACAGTGAGCATTTTTCGCATGGCATGCATCGGACATGTGATTTTTTTTTATTAGAAACACTTCTTTTTTAGGAATAATTATCTATCACTCAGAGAATAACCTTCAAGCAAAAAAACTTCTGTTTGAAAACTTTTTTTTCGATCGAAAATTCCTGAAGATGCCCTTTGCCTGACTCTTTTCGAAAACTTCTGTGTTATACATTCTTCGATACAGTTTTTGATGCTGATTTCGAATATGACCTTATTGTTTTCTGAAACTGTTCGTGAACTGAAAAACTACGGACTCTTGGGAAATCTGCCGTACGGTTTAGGAACGGTTGCGCTAAATTGCGCTAATTATATTAATATAGAACAGCTAAAAGAACATTCGGGCAAACTTTGATTGAGTTTTAAGTGGGTGTTAAAAGATGCACACTAATTTTATTAATAATAGCTATTCTGAAAATCACTTATAAAAGATTAAAAAATTCTTTCTCCAAGATTATAAATCTAAACTGCGAATCCTTGTCGATAGTGTCTAGATTCAGAACATCTGTCGTTTTAGCCCATAAGTCAGTTACTTTTTATAAGAAATCTTACTTAGTTTTGGTGCTAGTGTTTTCAGCCTTATTTTTAGCTAGATATTTTTCCATGTTTCTTAAGGTTTATAGCAAAACTTTTATGCTATCAAACAGAGCATGTCTTGAGGTATATTTGTCACTGTCTGAATCGGAAAAGAGTTCATTGTTTTTTACTTAAAGTCTTTGCGGATGCGCAGTGTGGGAGAGAGCAGAGGAGAAGAATCTAATTATGCATGTCAATACATAACGTGAGACGTATCATGAAACATTCAAAACAAATTTTTTTTATCTATGAAAATACTTTCTTTTATCGTTCGTCTTGTTGTGTCTAGAGAATTTTTTTAACAATCAACGGTTATTGATACGAAAATTAGATAAATTGCTTTGAATATAAATATAAATTAATCAAATTAAAAAGACAGCATTGAATAGAATACATTCTTGGGCATACTAATAAATTTTACATAGAAAGTATGTATATAAAGTCGATGTGATTAGTGTATTGTGACAGATACTTTTTATTATGTTTTCTTTTGGGATTTTTAAATCTCCTTTATCTCTTTCTTTCTTTAAGCATAGTTAACAGGGTAAAGAAAAAAGAAGAAAATATCCCACAACGTTGCATTTAGCATGTAAAATGGCCAGTATATACTAGATTACCTAATTCCTAGATATTGTGAAAACTTCCAAGGACTTGTTTATTTTCCGAAGAAAATGGAAGTTTGAAGTTTGTTTTAAAGGAGATAGATGTTTTTCACTTATTTTGGCCACAAAAATTTCAGTAGCACCCTGTCGACATTTTGGCCTCATCAAATTTAAAGTTAATTTTGATGTTTACAGCTACTGAAATCGTATTGCAAATATTGAATATGTTGTTTATATTTATTAAAGATATTATTTGTACCCAATGTAAATGTTGATTAAGGCAGTCAGTTATGCACCTGTGTCGAAGGCACTAAAACCAGTTAGAACTACGAATTTATGTCATTTTGTATTAGAAAAACTAGACAATAGATTGCCATTGCGCTACGCACAAGTTGCGATGTCGACAGACTGTGTCCGAACTGAATCTTCATTTTCTCTTTCTTTCGCTCTTCCTCAAATTTCGTTTTCATTTCATTTTTCTTAAATCTATCTTTTAAAGCAATTAAAATTATAACGAAGGTGATTTGGTGAATCTTCTACTTACTGCGGACTGCTGCTGGCAGATTGTTTTCTTTCTCTCTCCTGTATTGATATTCTCTTTTCAATGACATTTCTTTTTACATAGAAAAATTTCGTAAGAAAAAAGAACTGACGCTGGGAAAAAATATAAGGGAAAGTAAGTTCATAGCACATTTTTTCTCCCACCTGTGGACCTTATGGCGCCGAGTCTGTACTATTAATCGGAAAACGATTATGCATTGATCCCGGTTCAGTCCCCAGAGTGTCCTCCCGTGCTCAGAACTTTTATACGCAGCGTAGTTCCTTAGATCACTCGGTACACATTTTGCCGAAACGACGACCAAAGAAAAAAAAGCTAGAATGCAATTGTGCTATGTACAAGTTTCGATGTCGATAGACAATGTGGACATTTCCAACTGATTGGGACTAACGAGCGGATTTCAAGCATTAATTTCGTTAGAATTTTCTGTAGCATCAAAAACATCTGAACCAGGGTATCAACCACAGTACATCAGTCAGCAAGAAAAACAGCACACTTTTGAAGCTATGTGCTTAGTTGACACAACACCAGAGTAAATTACCCTTTAGGCAAATACATAAAAGATAAGAAGCAGTAAATATTATAAAGAGGCTTGTAGTAATTTCAGCGGAGTAATTAACGATTCTTCATTTTTCTTATTGAGATTATTCTAAACCGTTTCAACAATCAATGAATAAATTTTTAAATTTAGTAAAATTATTTCTCTTTTTGACGAAATTCTTCGGTGTGCCTTCTATGTTTTAAAGAACTGGTAATCACTTAGTATACCTTTTATTAGATGCATGTATGTAAAAAGAAATTCACTACCTTTTTTTCAATCGACTATACGGAGTCTCGTGGCAATATTTGTTTTATAATAAGTAAGATCTACCGAGAAGCCATTTTTGCGAAAAGGGGGGTTTTCAGGCTGTTTTCACCTAATATTTACACAGATTCATTTCTCAAGTCTGTCAACAAATAAAAAACAATGGCGCCGGATAACTAATAATAATTAAAAAGTTCGAAGTTCAAGACACATTTTTCTTTCACTCGTGGAATTCATCTCGCTGAATCTGGACGGTTGTTTAAAAATAGAACGTGGAATGGTCCACATTCAGAACCCAGAGAACTATCTCCCGTTTTCAGAATATGTAGCTCTCTAGATCATACGACTCACTTTTTGCAAAAGCGATGACTAAACAAGAAAAAACAACAACAGAAATCTCTGAACAAATCCAAAATGTCTATCGACATAAAAATTCTGAACAAATACAAATTGTCTATGGACATAATTATAGTTTCTTCTTTATTCCTGGAGCGATTACTCCAAATCGTTTCAATACTTAATGAATTTTTAATTGTTTGGTATTCCTTCTGTTTTGAAACAACAAATCTTCTTTCCTCTTCTCTCCATTTACTAACTTAAAATTCTCTTCTCAGCACTTAAATGTCTTTCTGTTTTTATTTATAAAGAACAAAGAATTAAATAAAAATGGCGCTGGACAACCAACTCATAAACAAAGTCCAAAACACATTTTTCTTCTAGTTTCTGGAATTATGGTGGCTATTTTCGACTACCGTTTGGATCTACAGTAGCCAAAGAATATCATCCTGTTCTCAGAAGTTTTCTACGTTACGTAGTTCTTCAGATCACGCTGCGCACATTTTGCAAAATAATTTCGAGTTAGAAGGACGAAAACATTTGAATATTTTTGAAACCAAAAGGTTTTTCGCAATTTTCGATCTTTCGAATTTTTTCAATTTTTCTTCCTTAAAAAAATTAAAAACTACCTTTAATCAGCTCAACGAGCTCTATCCAACCATGTGCAAAGAAATGAAAACAAAAATTGCTATAATTTTGACTTTCCGGCATCTTACTTTCGGATGCACCCTTTCTCATGGGATGTGTGAAGTAGTCAGTTTCAACCAGACTGAACAATCCTAGAATAGAGGCCTTGATAA